CATCTGGTCACCCTAGGAGATGGGCTGGAGGGATCATTTATTTATTTATTTAAAATATTTTCCTGACTGATGCAGCCAAATAAACTGGCCGGCTTACGATCGGGGTGGGTGGTGGGTGGGTGGGGGCTGCCTTCGAACTTGAAAGTGAGGGGAGGAAATGTCCTCCCCTCTCTCTGCCTCAGACGGCAAGGTTTCTTGGCCCCACCCCTGAGCCGCGCCTGCTGCTCCCCAGGTGTTCTTGGACCACAATTCCCAGAAGCCTTCACGAACACCAGCTGTGCTCGCCAGGATTTCTGGGAGTGGTAGTCCAAGAGCATCTAAGGGGCGCCAAGGCGGAGACTTACACCGGCCTACAGAGACCCAACACTTTCCCCTCCCCTTTTCTTCTGACCCACGGCCTCACAGGGCCAGGAGAGAAGAAGGAAGGAAGGAAGCTCTGCGCGGCGGTGGGAGCTTACAGGCGAAGGCCGGCCGGCCTTCTCACCGAGCCGGTGATTCCTAGAACAGCCATAGAAAGCGTGTGCGGTTTATGGTTTTTCCCCTGTACTTCCTGCTTCGTCACTTCCGGTGAGAAAGACGGCTGTCATCTTCCCCCCTTTTGTGTCTCGGTCATCGACCCCCCCCCCCTCTGCCCTCTTTCTTTCGGAGAGACCCGGTGAGTGACAGATGGATGGAGGGTGTGTGTGTCTGTGTGTGTGATGCAAGGATGGGAAAGCCGTGCTTTCCATCCAGGGGGGCGTCCCTCCTTGGGAAGGGAGGTGGAAGTGGGGGCTCCTTCCCAAGGGGGTCAAAGGGAGGGCGGGGATATATTGGGGTGCAAGGGAACCCCAAGGGTGCGAATGGGTGGGTGGGGTAGGAAGGCCGATTTGGGGGGGTGCCCCACAAGAACGGGGCCTCGGATGGCGAAAAGGGGGAGGCAGAGGAAGGTCTCTGCCCCGCCCCCCCGCTTCACCCCCAAAAAGGAGTTGGCCTCCTTTGGGAGGGCTCGCCCGTGGCACCCACTTTTAGGGGGTTACACAACGTCTCAAAATGCCCTCGTTAAATCGGCATAAACTCCCTAACAGCAGCAGGAAGAGAAATCCGGAAGAACTGCAGGAAAAGTTTGAAAGTACTGTAGAGGTTTTTATATGTTAAAAAGCTCAAAAAAAGTTTGAAAGCTGCAGATTATTTTATATATAGCATCATCAACAAGGGAAGGAAAAATGCACCCCATGTTTGAGATCTAGATAGATAGATAGATAGATAGATAGATAGATAGATAGATAGATAGATAGATAGATAGATAGATGTATCTATCTAGAATGTCTACCTACCTACCTATCTATCTATCTATCTATCTATCTATCTATCTATCTATCTGTCTATCTATCTATCTATCTATCTATCTATCTATCTATCTATCTATCTATCTATCTATCTATCTATCTATCTATCTATCTATCTATCTAAAGATATAGATATCTACAGTATATCTATCTGTCTATCTAAAGATCTCAAACATGGGGTGCATTTTTCCTTCCCTTGTTGATGATGTTATACGCTTTATGTCATTTTAGTTAAGATGTACAGTTCCTTATGGACTGTCTCATTGCTTCTTACTTATAACTGTCCATGCATTTATTATTACATGTTGTTGAGGTACTTCTGAGTTTTGGTGACTATGAATAAGAGATCTCCAAAAAATTTTCCCCTGTTCAGCTCTTGTAAACTCAAACCCGTGATTCCTTTAGTGAGTTAGCCTATCTCTTGTCTTCCTCTTTTCCTGCTGCCTTCTACCTTCCCCAGCATTATTGTCTTGTATAGCCCGTTGTGTCTTCTCATGCCCAAAGTTATGATCGCCTCAGATTGATCCACGGTATCTGTGGACGCCACAAGCTGCAGAATCCCAGGGCGCCCCTAAGGAATGCGAATAGGGAACCACTTCTGAGGTCACTGTCTAGAAAACCCTTGAGAGGATAGCCATAAGACAGAATTGACTTGATGGCTCAGAGATATTATTATAATAAGAAAAGCTTAAGAGAACCAGTGCAGTGTGGTGGATAGAGTCATAGATTAGGATCCAGGAGATCTGGGTTCAAATGCATGCTCAGTCATGGAAACTCAAGGGAAGGAGTGGCAGTGATAAAAGCCCTCCTTAGTACAATATTTCACATAACCTGAAAATCCTGTTAGGTTTGCCAGAAGTCAGATGCAACTTGATGGCATATAACACAGAGAAGCTCAATTATATATTTAAAACAGGGCGAGGATGAACTGGTCCCTCTTGCTCCTGTACTTACAGCTTCCAGTTTGTAGATGAATCTAATAATATTAGCTATTACAATAAGCTAATAATGTTAGCTGTTGCAGTTATCATTCCACCTGCCCTAGATTGTCTATGCACATGTTATTTATTTCCTTGCAGAAATTTTCAGGACAATAAGCTCAGTGAGTTAGAAGAGGTTGGGGGTTCAATTCCTCCCGGTGCCTCCTAGCAGAAGAGCCTGCCTGCATAGCCATGAAGAAGCTGCACAGTCCCAGGGCACCCCCAGAAGAAGGGAAGGGGAAACCACTTCTGAGTACTGTTATAACATAGAAAATCTTGAAAAGGGTAGCCATCAGTTGGAATCAACTTGGTGGTGTGCAATTAGGTACAGTATTAGGCATGCTGCTGCAAAATACGTCAGATTTGACTTGATGGCCCATGAGGATGAAACCAATTCTTCAGATGAATGGCGTATGGCAGCACAGAGGCAGTGCTCACAAATCTGAAAACGTGGACTACGATCCAGGATAGCTTGCATTGGAATACCAAACAAACTAACCACGCATCCTCTGTCGCTAATGAGGTTGACAAAGTATTTTTATTTATATTTATTTGGAGTTTGATTAAGGTGACTGTAAGCCTGAATGCCTCTTGACGGCACGCAACGCACATGTACTTGTGACTATTCTGTGGACTCAGTGTTCAATGGAGATGTTAAATGTAATAGACCACCACTGCAGGATCACGAGAAAAGGGAGTCACCTACTTATCCCTAGGGTTGGGTGTAACCTATAAAGACCTAAATGGCTTGGGCCCAAGCTATTTCAAGGACGGTGTCTCCCTTTATGAGCCTGCCCGGGTGTTAGGATCTTCAGGGAAGGCCTTTCTCTCGGTCCTGATGCCTTCACAGGTATGTTTGGTGGGGACACAGGAGAGTCTGCTCCCAGACTTAGGAACCCCCTCCCACTGGAGGCCAGGCTGGCCCCATCTTTGCCATCCTTCTGCCAAGCAGGTGAAAACCTTTCCCTTCAGGCAAGTTTGCCCTGAGTGACGGGCTGCCTGATGGGTTTTTCAAACCAGATTGTCGTACCTCGCTGCTTTGAATGTGGTTTTTGGTATTGTAAGTGCTTTGGTGATTCGGCCCCGTTTGGTGTGGCACTCACTTCCTTCTCTCGCCTCTTCTGGGTGATCACCCACTCATTGGCAGCATGGTGCTTCCCTCGTTTGCCTCTTCCGGGCAATCTCTGTGCAAAGCGCCGTGTGCTTCCCTCTACCTCCTCCAGCAGCCACCCACGAAGACAAAGAAGTGGGGCAAGGACGCCTGCAGCCCTGCCTCTGAGTAGACGGTCACCCAGAGGAGGGAATCATGCTAGTGATGGTGAATGCATGATTTGCTGGAGGGGACAGAGGAGGGAAGCATGCATCACCCACTGAATACCTGGGCAGGTACTGCTCTGAACTGGGCCGAACCACCAAAGTGCAGTTCATGCCCATCTCTAGTCAACAGACAATAATCCAGGGGTCAGGGAACTTTTTTACCTTTTACCCCCCCAAAAAATTTATACAATGGTGCCCCGCATAGCGATGATAATCCGTTCCGAAAAAATTGTCGCTATACGGATTTGTCGCTCTGCGGGGCAAAAAAGCCCATAGGAATGCATTAAAACACGTTTAATGCGTTCCTATGGGCAAAAACCTCACCGTTCTGCGAAAATCCTCCATGCGGCTGCTATTTTCGCTGCCCGGTAATCGAGGAAAGGGTGCGAAAACACTGCAGGTGGCCATTTTATTTACCCGGCGGCCATTTTGGAACTGCCGATCAGCTGTTTTAAAATATCGCAATGCGAAAATCGATAAGCGAAACGCTTACCGACCATCGCAAAGTGATGTTTTGCCATTTAAAACATCGTTATGCGATTGCTTTTGCGATCGCAAAAACTCAATCGCTATGCAGATTTGTCATTAAACGAATCACTCGTTATGCGGGACACCACTGTATATGTTGACATTACCCCCCTTGGTTCTCACCATCTGCGGCCGACACCCCCCGCCCCACATCTGTGCTCACCCGGGACTTATGGCCACCGCCCGGGCAGCCAGTCTGGAGCCACCACACTGCTGGGAAAGCACATCCTTGGCGAGGGGAGGCGGGTGCTGCAGGGCTGGCATGTCCACTGGCCATGAGCTCAGGTGGGGCGGGAAGGGGGCCTCCTCGCCACCGCAGCAGGTGGGTGGGCGCAGGCAGGAAGGAGAGCCCCGGCCAGGGCTATGCTGGGCAAAGAGTTCAGCTGGCCTGGTAAGCCGCCCTCCCCCCACTTCGGAGGCAAGGAGGGCAGGTGGGTGCCCTGTGCAGTTCCTCGCCAGGCCTCACTCTCCCCACGACAGATCATCTGCCTACACACAGCATCGTCAGAAATAAAATGCCTGGGGGTAAAATGCCTGCCACAACCGTCCTCATTACCCCCAGGATTTTCATTTTTACCCCATTTGGGGTAATTTAGCCCTGTTCCCTGACCACTGCAATAATGTGACTCAGGACGTCCCAGTCCCAGAACATATTCTGCATTATTTGTCAATATTGTTGCATCCATGGTTTGTATGTGAACAAGGAATGCCTCAGCTCTTGCCTCTCACCACCACCCTCTCCAGCGTTACTCTGAGTCATGGTATTCCCTTCTCCTTCTTTTAGGAAAGAGCCTCAGTCGATCTCCAGAAACCTACACTTTGCTCTTACTAAAACAAATTTCTGTTTCTTTGTTCCAAGAGCGTCAGACATAATCTCATCATCTCATGCGTTCTTCCCCTTTCCAGCCAATTCTGGTTCCCCTCACCTCAAGAACTTGGCAGTGGAGCAAGAAGGTCTTGTGAGTCCTGTCGGAGGTAGAAACGAGAACACCAGTCCAAGATGGAAAAGCAGCACTCGGCTAGTCCCGAACCAGGAAGAAGCCCTCACGGGATTGTGATTGGGAGCAGGGCAGCATCATCCTGGGAAAGACCAAGGCAGAAGGACCTGGGGATGCTTTTTGGCAGCTTGGACATGCAGCGCAAGCGGTTCAGGAGATTCTCCTACCAGGATTCCAAGGGACCCCGAGAGGTTTGCAGCCAGCTCCACAAACTTTGCCGTCAGTGGCTCAAGCCTGAGATTCATACGAAGGATCAGATTGTGGACTTGGTGATCCTGGAGCAGTTCCTGGCTATCTTGCCCCCGGAAATGCAGACCTGGGTGCGGGAATGTGGGGCCGAGACCACGGCTCAGGCGGTGGCCCTGGCCGAAGGCTTCCTCCTGAGCCAGGCAGAGGAGAAGAAGCAAGAAAAGGAGCAGGTGAGAGAGCGTGTGTCATTTTAATCATTCCAGAGTTTGGAGAACTCCAGCTCTCCCGATTCTATTTATTTATTTATTTAAGAAAACACTCAAAGAAGGATGACTTGACCTTCTGGAGTGGTTGGTCCAAATATAGCACGGGATTCTTCTTTGGAAAAATCCAATGACACGTAAAAGGGATGGAAAATAAGGTGTAGTTTTGTTTGTTGGTTTGTTTTTGTTTTTACTCTTTGGGCTACAAATCCCACAATTTCCCCTCTGGGAATTTTAACTGACTCACACCTTCCAGACACCTAAATGTGGTTCACCTGGGGCGAAAGGCCTACACTGAAAAAGCCTTGAGGCTAAGCTAGGCCTGATCCCACCTAGGTTTCCTTTTCCTGCCCCAGTGCTTGCTGGGAGTTTTTTTCCCAGAACAGAAAGTTAGATGAGCCTAGCTAGGCCTCAAAATCTTCCAGTTCAGGTCTTTTTTCTCCAGGTGAGCTATACTTAGGTGTTTGGTAATTGATTTGTTATTAATTATTCATTTTAATTAATTTTTGATTATTATTTTAATTAATAATGTATTTATTTGTTTGTTTGTCTATGTGTTTATTTTTAACCCTAATACTGCCCCATTAGTGCAAAGCAGTATTCTGGGCAGTTTACAACTTCTAAGATGGGATAAACCAGAGGCAAACAACAATAAAATCATAAAACAAATCTTAACGGAACCAATGAAACAAGCAGTTGTGGTACATTATACCTAAATCAGGGATTACTCCCAGAATGGAGAATTATGGGATTTGTAGTCGGAATCTGTTCTCAGTCATTCCAGAGAGCAGGACATGCAGCTATGGGCTCAAGTTACAGGGAGCGGGATTAAATTTTTAAAAAATCTAATAAAAAAAATACCATCCCTCATAAAGATTTTCATGGAGTAGGGTAGGTCCTGCAGCCGACAGAATGAGAGGTGCTGTCCTACAAAGCCAGCGTGCCACTCTCTGGGTTCTACAGAGCTGAGTTACTTGAGTACAGTGGTGCCTCACTTAACGACGTTAATTCGTTCCAGCGAAATCGCTGTAAAGCAAAAATATCATAAAGCGAAATTAAAAAGGCCATTAAAAAGCATTGAAAACCCCTCAATGCGTTCCAGTGGGCTGAAAACTCACTGTCCAGCAAAGATCCTCCATAGGGGCGGCCATTTTCGCTGCCTGTAAAGCGAGGAATCCATCCAAAAACACATCAGGGAGCCATTTTAAGCAGCTAGCGGCCATTTTGAAACCCGACGATCAGCTGTTTTTGATCGTTGTAAAGCGAAAATCGGTTCCCAAAGCAGGGAACTGATCATCGTTAAATGAAAAAAACCCATTTAAAACATTGTTTTGCGATCGCAAAAGCGATAGCAAAAACCTAATCGTCAAGCGATTTCATCGTAGAGCAGGGCAATCGTTAAGCGAGGCACCACTGTATTGCAAATGGAGTGAACTTTACTGAGATGTGAATATCTGTTTTTGGATGACAAAACAGCAGTAATGCAAGCACAGCCCAAACTAGGTACTACAAAATTTAAACCCTTGAGGTTCATTCACCAGCACTCGGCCAGAGCAGGAGTGGCTTGTAAGGAAAATGAAGTGATCCTATTGTCTCTTTCAAGCAAAATGAACCAGGAAGAAGGTCCCAGAGATCTTTATCACCCAAAGCAGACAGCCCACATGCAGTTGCAAGAACACAACATTTGAGACCATAAAATAAAATACAATTCAGATACAAATATATATTCATTCATTCCTTATTGCACTGTCACAAACCCGTGTTCAAAAAATAAAATATAACAATACAACAATAAAAAATAAAACTAATTATTAAAACATGCCAATATTTAGAAAAAGTAGTCCGTTAGAATTTAAAAGGCCTTTTTATGAGATCTTACAATAGAAAACAGGAACTTGGCTACAGACTCTGTAACTATTTGGTTTATACCTGGCTTCTTCTGGTTACAACAGTTCTACTTCATTCTCCCTGAAACATTGTTCTTAAAATTTCAGAACTTTCATGCAACCAAGCATATTTCAGGGCAGCGTTGAAACCGAAGGATTTTAACTAAGAAACTCAGTAATGCAGCAGGACCCCCATATCCATGGGGGAATCAGTTCCAAGCCCCCCTCTCCGATGCTGAAAACAGCGGATTATAGCAAACGCTACCCTGTTTTCCTGAAAATAAGCCCTAGTATGGTTTTTCAGGATGCTCGTAATATAAACCCTGCCCCTAAAATAAGCCCTAGTTAAGTGAAACCGTGCCCTCCACCATTGTGCAGCAACCGGAAGATGATGGTTGTACATGAAAAAAAAAAAATCCCTGAAAATGAGCCCTAATGCTTTTTTTCGAGCAAAATTTAATATAAGACTCTGTCTTATTTTCGGGGAAACATGGTAATACAGCATACAGCGAATGCTATACATACATAGGGACGTGGTGGCGCAAAGGTTGGAAGACCAGCCGTCGTAAGATCGAATCCACGCGATGGAGTGAGCTCCTGTCGCTTGTCCCAGCTCCTGCCAACCTAGCCGTTCGAAAGCATGTAAAAATGCAAGTAGATAAATAGGTACCACCACAGTGGGAAGGTAACGGCGTTCTGTGTCTAGTTGCGCTGGCCACATGAGCTCAGAAACTGTCTACGGACAAACGCTGGCTCTACGGCTTGGAAACGGGGATGAGCACTGCCCCCTAGAGTCGGACACAACCGGACTAAAATTGTCAAAGGGAACTTTTACCTTTAAAAGCTAAAAATAAAAGTATGCAAATACTTAAAACGAAACAAATACCGCATTTTATTATTTCTTTGCTGCTCTGAGATGTTTTGATATTGAGCAGGATACGTGTTTTGTTTTAAATAATGGTTGCAAACAAACAATGTAACTTCATCTCCGTGTGATTATGTCATCATCATCATCAGTAGGGGATTTTTGGAAATTAAAGAATTCTGATTGGCTCTTCATCAGCTCCGGAAGCACCCTTAGGATTCCTTTTATTGTTGGGAAGCTTTTGGTGGGTGGGCACAGGATGGGTGGGGGAGTCTTTTAATTACCTGGGCCCACAGTGCCATCCCAACGAAGGGGATCCCCAGAAATCCTTGGGACCCTCAGGAAGGGAGAATCAAAAGTATGTAATCTCTGGGGGTGGGAACTACTGCAGCGGATGAGGTCAGCCTTCCAGAGGGTACATTATGCTGCTGGATTTTCAGCCAATAAGTACATGAATACACACAAGCAAAGGTAAGGTAATTTGTTTGAAACGCCTGTCCCAGCATTGAAAGGACCACAGCTGGATTGAGCTGAGCTCCCCCACTCAGCTTATTCTTGAGCAGTGGTTTCCAACCTTGAGTCTCCAGGGGTTCTTGGACAACAACTCCCAGAAATCCTGGCCAGCACCGCTGGTGATGAAGGCTTCTGGGGGTTGCAGTCCAAGAACTTCTGGGGACCCAATGTTGGGAACCGGTGCTCTCGAGTCAGGGTGCCATGTTTATGCGTACAACGCGGCTATCTTCTAGAGATGGTACATGTGATAAGGACCCCATTGGAAAATCTTCAGGGAGGTTGGCGTTGGTAGGAGAGAAAGCAGTCTCTAGGTATTCAGGATCTCATGACATATACAGGGTTTGAAAGCAAGCACCAACGCATTGGGTTGGGACTTAAGTTAGGAGCAGATAGCTGGCTGGATAGATCAGTGGTTTGGGTATCTGGCTGTGGAGCCAGAGGTTGGGAGTTCAATTCCCCCACTGGGTCTCCTGCAAAGTACAGCCAGCCTGGGTGGACTTGAGCAAGCTGCGCAGTCCGAGGGACCCCCCCAGAAGAAGGGAGGGGGAAACTGCTCCTGAGTATTCTCTACTTGGAAAACCTGAAAGGCACTGCCATGAATCAGAATTGACTTGACATCATATGATGATGATTGTTGTTGTTGTTGTTTTCTTTTTGTTTTTGTTGTTGTTATTATCATTATCATCATCA